ATATGAGCTCATGGTGTATGTGACAGGTGTGACTTTCCTCTTGCTCCCTCTTTCTGTCATTGTTGCCTCCTATACACTAATCCTACTAACTGTGCTCCACATGCCCTCAGATGAGGGGTGGCAGAAAGCCCTCATCACCTGCTCTTCCCACCTGACTGTGGTCGGGATGTTCTATGGAGCTGCCACATTCATGTATGTCCTGCCCAGTTCTCTCCACAGACCCAAGCAGGACAACATCATTTCTGTTTTCTACACAATAGTCACCCCAGCCCTGAACCCCCTCATCTACAGCCTCAGGAATAAGGAGGTCATGGGGGCCCTGAGGAGGGTCTTGGGGAAATACATGCTGCCGACACACTCCTAACATAATTACCAAGTAGACACAGTAGGAGACTAAGTTTCCATTTTAATACCATGCAGCAGTGAGAAGCAGCAGTAGTTTTAAGCTGACCAAACTCCAATAGCCTCTTAACATCAGGGGAGGCCCACTCTCCTTTGAACTGGATTCTTAGATAATTAATAGAGAAAATTATGCTTAGAACATATGTTAGGCTTCTTGTTTGTTAGGCAGATGGTTGTTCAAGCAATTAGTTGGAAAGAATAATAGTTTTGTGACTGCATTTGTACTCCAGACTTAAGGAGCAGTTTGGATTGATTATATAAGTGAAGACAATTCATATGTTGATATAGTGGAAAAGGCTAAACAGGGTGTTTTTATACTGCCTGAAATTAAATTTAAAAGTAAAATAGAGAAATGAATAAAAGAGAATGTAAATTACCCAAATTTGAAGTGATTACTAGAGGTACAATAACAGTGAGAGATATCTATTGTGTATATTGCTTGAATTTTTTTAAAAATGTGACCTTATATGTATACAAACATGTTTTGAAATATTAAAACAATTGCAAGGAGTTCATATTCTTGAGCTGAGTATATGTATATGTCAGTATCCGCATGAAAGGATGGATAAATATATAATTCACTTTCTAGCAAGCCTAAATATGCTTTATTTTATCATTTGCTTTATAAGCATGGGAAGATTTATAACAAAATCTGGGAACTTACATCTGTTCAGTTAAGAAGCTCCGTAATACCCTGGCTCACATAGTTGAAATTATAGTTGAGGATAGTGCTTTGTGAAAACTCAGAATACTTTCTTTTCTTGACTGAAACAATCTTAAATTGCTTAATCTACAAAGCTAAACCATAATATAAAAGCTAAAGCTAATCTATAAAACTAATCCAAGTTCATTATGAAAACAGAAAATTCAGAAATTTAGAAAGAAACGAAAGACACCGAAAAAGTTTTCCTTTCATTTTTTTGTTATCCATATATGTATGTTACTGAATTGTTTTGTACATTGATTAAAGTCCTGCTTTTTTGTCATTTAGAATTTGGTAAACCTTCTTCCTTGTTAAGAGGGGAAATTATATTTTAGGGGTAGTGAGTGAGTGGCAGGTAGGGAGGAGGCCAGAGTGTGTGCGTATGAATCTCTGCACCCCCTATATCATCTGTGCATCTTTGGACACTAAATTAAACTTTTTGTGCCTCAGTTTCCTCATTTAAAAGGTGTAATAATAATAGCACTCATGATGTTTTGGGGAGGATTGAATAAGAAAATAAATGTCAAGCACTCAGACCAGAGTCTGGCAAATGTGCATAAAACATGCTGCCTAGCATGCAGCAGCTAGCAGGGTGAGAGACCCACCCACCCCCGCACCATGGCCTCATGACACAACTGGGCTGAGTGAAAGCCCCATGTACTCCGGCACAGCAGACACGGCCCCACCACAGCAGGCAGGTGTGAGTAGCCCACACAGGGGACACTCCTTGAGCACCTAGCTCTGGTGGCCGGGGGGATAGCACTCCTGGGTCCCATGTGTCATCTCCTATATAAGGCCCCTCCTTCAAGACTGGCAGAAATAGTTGATTTGCCTAATATATAGAAACAAACACAGAGTCAGGCAAAATGAGGAGATAAAGGAATGTGTTCCAAACAACAGAACAAGAGAAAATAGAAGTAACATTTGCATTATACAGGTCCCAGAAGGAAAAGAGAGAGAAAAAGGCTCAAAATACTCATTTGAAGAAATAATGGCTGAAAACTTCCCCAATCTGGGCAAGTAAACAGATACCCAGTCCAGGAAGCCCAGAGAGTTACAAATAAAATGAACCCAAAGAGACCCACACCAAGATACATTATAATTAAAACAGTGAAATTTAAAGATAAAGAGAGAATCCTAAAAGCAGCAAGAGAAAAACAACTTGATACACAAAAGGGAAGCCTCATAAGGCTATCAGGAGATTTTTCAGCAGAAACTTTACAGGCCAGAAGAAAGTGACATGACATATTCCAAGTGCTGAAAGGAAAAAAACTTCCAACTAAGAATTCTCTACCCGACAAGGTCATCATTCAGAATTGAAGGAGATAAGAATTTCCCAGTTAAGCAAAAGCCAAAGGAGTTCATCAACACTAAATTAGCCTTACAAGAATTGTTAAAGAGACTTCTTTAAACTGAAAAGAAATGGCACTAATTAATAACAAGAAAACATATAAAAGTAAAAATCTCACTGGAAAAAGTAAATATATAGTAAAGGTAGTGGATCAATCACTTATAAAGCAGGTATGAGAATTAAAAGATAAAAGTAGTAAAATAAACTAAAACTGCAATAATTAATTTGGAAATGTGTAAAATAAAAAAATGCAAATGTGACATCAAAAATATAAAACGCAGGGAGGGGGAGTAAAAATGTAAAGTTTTGGAATATGTTCAAATTTAAGTTGCTATCGGCTTAAAACGGATCGTTATATATATATATATATATATATATATATAGGATGTTATATATGAACCACACTGTAACCACAAAGCAAAAACTTATAGTAAAGACACAAAAGAAAATGAGAAAAGAATCTAAACATAACACTAAAGAAAATCATCAAACCACAAGGGCAGAGAGAAAGAGAAGAAGAAAGGAACAGAGGAACTACAAAAACAGCTGGAAAACAATTCACAAAATGACAATAAGGGCATACCTATCGATAATTATTTAAATATAAATAGACTAAATTCTCCAATCAAAAGACATAGAGTGGCTGAATGGATAAAAAACAAGAGTCATCTATATGCTATGTACAAGAGACTCACATCAGGAGGAAGAAACACACAGACTAAAATTGAAGGGATGGCGAAAGATTTTCCATGCAAATGGAAACAAAAAGAAAACTGGTATAACCATACTCATATCAGACAAAATAGACTTTAAAACGAAGACTGTAATAAAAGACAAACATGGGCGTTACATAATGATGAGGGAGCCAATCCAGCTAGAAGATATAACACTTATAAATATACATACACCCAACATAAGAGCACCAAAATATATAAAGCAAATATTAATAGACCTAAAGGGAGAAATTGAAAGCAGTAGTAGGGGACTTTAACATCCCACTTACATCAATGGAAAGATCATTCAGACAGCAAATCAATAAGGAAATATCGATCTTTTGACACATTAGACCAGATGGACCTAACAGACATATATAGAACATTCCATCCAAAAGTAGAAGAATATACATGCTTCTCAGGTGTACATGGAACATTACCAGGATAGATCACATGCTAGGCCAAAAAAAACAAGTCTCAATAAATTCAAGAAGACTGAAATCATATCAAGCATCTTCTCTGAACATAATGGTATGAAACTAGAAGTCAATTACAAAAATAAAACTGAAAAAACAACAAAAACATGGAGATTAAACAACATGCTACTGAACAACCAATGGATCATCAAAGAAATCAAAGAAGAAATTAAAAAATACATAGAGACAAATGAAAACAGAAGTACAACATACTAAACTCTATGAGATGCATCAAGAGTACTTCTAAAAGGGAAGTTCATAGCAATATAGGCCTATTTCAAGAAACAAGAGAAATCTCAAACAATCTAACTACACCTAAACGAACAAGAAAAGGAAGAACAAATGAAGCCCAAAGTTAGTGGAAGCAAGGAAATGCTAAAGATCATAATGGAGATCAATGAAAAAAGAGTTTAAAAAGACAACAGAAAAGATCAACGAAACTGAGAGCTGGTTATTTTCAGTTTATTATTTAGCCTCATGATAGGATTTGTAGGATAGGGAAATGTTACAACATTTATGTAGTTGATATACAGCCATCTTTTCCTTTGTCTTTTTCAGGTGATTGTACCCTTATAATTCCCATTCTTAGTTCAGAAAATATTTCCATACATTTCTTTTAGATTTGCTTAATAATGTCATAAGTGACATTTAACTTTTTAATCTCTGTAATTTATTTTGTTATATGATGTATGGTGAGGCTTTATTTAATTGTGTTTCTAAATAGGTTATTTTCTTACTAGCACTCTTAATAATCCTTTCATATTATTTATTTACTTTTTTTTTTCAGGGACCTAACAAAAGGAGATGGAATGGGGGTTGGGGGAGTGGGAGGAGTTGAGGCCTCAAATCCTGGACTTGAACATCTGTAAAATAAACAATTACTGTGCTTCCCTCATGAATCTCACAATATTCATTGAACTTTGGTTTCATTCTTAGGCAAAATTTCATTGTGTACAATGAAAGTATTTGCGAAATATATGCAGGTTTTAGTTTAATTATGATAAAACAAATAAAAGTCCAACAGCATCCTCTCCCCCAAATATCACCTGTTAATTGCCATTATTTAATCAATACCAGTTTGCTGGTATTGATTTGGTATGATCTCTCTTATTTGTGGAATCTAAAAAACAAAACAAAACAAAACAAAACTCATAAATACACAGCACAGATTG